AAGCGCTCTGAGCAACCATTCTACGGAAGTAGTCTTTTTGATGACAACCTTGGTCTCTGCTCTCGCCATCAGAGGCGTCAGTCTCCTCCCGCGTCTGACCGCCGAGTTGCTCAGCGACCAAAAAAGCCAAAGCACTGTGGCCCTTGGGCTCTCCTCAGCGTAGGGGAGACAGGCAGGCAAGTCACCTCGCCGAGAACGCACTGGCGTTCCCAGCAGGATGAAGGCATCCATCCGTCCATCGCGAAGCGGGCTGAATTATGGGAACCGAGCCAGAGCGCCACCGGTCCCAAAACGGTCTCAAGATCTCAGAATACAGCAGCAGGTGCAGCAGGTCCTTTGTTCTGGTACCTGGACACAAGATACAGAGTGGGCCCGGGAAGCTTTGGAGGTTCTTGCGGCACACCAGGACGCCGTGGACTTGGAAGTGCCACGATGTGAGCAATGAGCGACAACAGGCTTGCTTTCTTGCTTGCTTAGCGACCGCCAACGGCGCCAAGTCCATAAGGAGTTTCCAGACCTTTGGAAGAGCAGCAGTCAGACCAGTCATAGAGAATTGAAACCACCCAGTGGCCGCCCAGCGCGTAGCCACTATCCAATTCTCATCAACACCCGCTTCAGGTCTGGAGAGTCGGTATCCGTGACAAGTGGTATATCGGTAAAGGGGCAGCCTTTCCTTGTTGAGGATTGCCGCTTGCCAGGTCCGATCCCTTGGGTCCAGTGGCAGTTCATACGCCGGGACCGCCAAGGGGCGGATAAGCGCCGGGTAATCGAGCACACAAACAGGAGTAAGGTCAGGAAGGGGAGGGAGGGGGACAGGGTCCACTGTCCGTCGAGGGCAACGGCGGTCCCGGCGAATAACCACAGGACAATGCATTACAGGAGGTCGCCTGCACATCACCGTCGTCGGTCATGGAGTCCAATCGCCAGATGTGAGACGGCTCCCAGTCCAGCGAGTGTGTGTGTGTGTGTGTGTGTGTGTGTGTGTTTGTTTTCTTAATTCTATAGTAAACAGGAAGTGTAAGACAGTTGAAGTTATAGCCGGACGGATCTCAGCGCACCACCTCCGGAGTTGCAACCCAGTGGACTTTCCTTGTTGTTTGAAGACCATTGGACATTCTTTTCTTCTTTTCTTTTTTTCAACAAAATCAAAATGCGATTTATTTTACAAGCTGGGAAACGGGCTGAGCGTCCCTTACAAAAGTGCGTCTCCCCAGCGTGAGCAATGCATAACTGGCCAAGCTCATCGAGATGATAGAGGAGGCCGCCTTCGGCCATTGCCAATCATAAAGGTGACACCTTCCAGAATTCAGAACCAGACACCAAAACCACAAAACGACGCGGGTCCATCTGCATTCGCATGCGAGGAAGACCCCTCTGGGGTACTGTGGTACTGGCGGGTCGGTATGCAATGAGCACAACAGGCATTTTAAATGTACTTACAGGGGGACGCTGGATCCGATTTCCAGCAGGGGCTAGGTCCCACTTGCACGAATTAAGAGATAGAGAACGTAGATAGCCGAGATCAACAGCCGAAATCTCCTAATCCGTGCAAGTGGGACCTTGCCCCAGGTGTTGCTCCCCACCAATAGATGGAGCCGTCCCGGCACTGCTAGTGGTGCCTGATCATATCAGCACCCCTAGCAGCTACTGGGGCTGTTTCTTCATTAAAAAAGAAGAAAAAAAAGAAAGAGAGAGAGAGAGAGAGAGAGAGAGAGAGAGAGAGAGAGAGAGAGAGAGAGAGAGAGAGAGAGAGAGAGAGAGAGAGAGAGA